CCCTGTCCATGGTGTCTTGACCTTTCTAAGGTGGTCGGTGAGCTCTTGTATGACTGAGAAGTCGGCGCCAGTGTCGACCAGTGCTATAACGTGATACCCGTCAATGAGAATGCCAAGATCGGCACGTACAACTTCATCGGCATTAGTGTTCGTCATCGTATTCGTCGTTGTTGTCGTCATATCTTCCGGCGATGATAAGGGGAACTTTTCGGTGTCTCGACAATTGATAACCTTGCCCCCGGAGGTCGCAGCAGTTAGTTTTCCCGGTTTGGGCTAGGCGAACGGCCTCTGGTGTCGTTCACGTAGCTCTGTGGGTTCAGGAAGTCACAGTGACGTGCAGGTGATGGTAATTGCCAGCTACGTGGTGGAGTTGCTTGGCCAGTCGACAGTTGATTGGCATCGTGGGCGTGACAGTCTTCAAAGCGGAAAGAAGCGGGACGAGAAAAGTTCCCGAACCCGGAATCGCCATGAGGGCAATAGCGGGCAATGTGACCTGGTTCTCCACAACGGAAGCAAATAGGTCGGCGGTTGGCCATGCGCCATAAGTCAGTTCGACAAACTTGTGGTCGTGTCATAGAATTCCGTTGCCACCAAGGCACGACAGTGGGTCGTGGCTGGAAGGGCGTCGCCACAAATGACGGTGGAGGACGACGGACCACATCAGTGTAGCTCGCTGAATGTGTCTCAGGGCTTGGCGCGGGTCGTGTAAGGGCTTGCCTCAACCCCTGGCGTATGATTTCGGCAACAGATGTGACAGGCGGTTGGGTAGGAGGAACGAAGAGGGCCCGAAGTTTCTCACGCCGTATTTCCCCGATCATTCGTCCTAGGGAACTTTCGCAGACGGCAGTGTTCTGAGCTGCAGCACGTACTGCCGTGTGGTTCAGCAGGTGGCCAAAGTGTCGGCATCGTCGTTGCAGTGTGCGCTCGATGACAGTCGCTTCTTTTATAAATTCATCTGCTGTTGTAGGTGGATTTCGTACGAGGCCCACAAGCACTGGTTCCTTAACAACTTGCATTAGCTGACGCACCTTCTTCGCCTCGGGCATGTCAGTATCAGCTAGTCGAAACAGACGGATCACACCCTCTGCGTACATGACGGCTCTTTCGTTGGGTTTTTGCGCGCGGGCCTCAATCAGCTGCTGTGCGCGATCCCGTTGGTCCGAGTTCAAAAATGCGGCGAGGAGCTTTCGGCGGAAATCTCCCCAAGATCGGAAAGTAGCCTCGTGGTTCTCACACCACGTGCGAGCGCTATTTTCCAGCGCGAAATATGCACGGTCAAGTTTGTGCTGTTCGCTCCAGTGGTTGAATACAGTGACCCGTTTGAACTGTTCGAGCCAGTCCTCGACATCCTCGTACTCTTCCCCACGGAAAACTTCAGGAACGTGAGTATGTTCAAGAGTCAACTGCGAGAGACAAGTGGGCTGCGATGGAAGGAGAACCGTGGATATGGTAGGAGCTGCCATGCTGGTAAGAGGCAGAACAGGTTGAGACTCCGGACTTTGGCCTAGTAGGCGCCCACTCAATCGGTGCAACAGAATCGTGACAAGGGTCTGATACTCTGGACTAGGTGAACGGTTCCGAGCAAGGCTGTCCTGCATGAGGTTGTAGGCTCCAGTACCTCCACCCGTGTCACGACGTCAAAACAGAGCTCTTGCCACAGAGATCGAGACACCAGAAGCAGGCCGGTCTCTTTATTATAACGCGCAAGCCAGTTCTTTTTTGTCCATTTAATTGTCCTTCAAGCACATGCACAACTGCCATCGTCTTTCTTGAGCAAGAACGTGACAATATTGCGTAAATGAGCAACGCATACTTCATCGGCTCCTGGAGCACTGCGTGAGTTAGCGTGTTGCAAGGCGTACTCCAGCTCGAGCATGGTGAAAGGGCTATTAAATGGCTCAGTGTCTTCAGCGCTTGCATTCTTCTGGTACGTGTCATCTGCCAGTGGGGTGAGATGTCTGAGGGAAAACACTTGAGCAGCTTGTTCGGTGAGCTCCTGATTGCTGATGCCTTCCCGGCGGGCCACATGAGCCGCGCCATTGTAGCTCTTGCGTTGGCCGAGAATAGAGCGCAGGATGACCCAGACCTTTGACGTGTGTGTGTGCCCATTGATGGGTTTCACAAATTCTCATCCAGTGGTATGATGTTAGCGTATTCGTATATTCCTCAATAGAGCGGTGCATTTTGCGCAACCGTGCTTTGTGATGCGCAGCATGGCGAGACCGCCTGCACTGAGCCATAATACGTAGCTTTCTATTGCACAAAGTGAGAAGATGCCTATCAGGTTCTGGTCGGTCAAGAGGAACCCGTAAGTTTTTGGTGGCTTGCCGCTTCGCTGCGCATATCTGAGATAACAGACGGTTAATGTTCTTGACTGGAGGCTGTTGCTGTAGTAACTTTCGGTATCTGTCCTCGTGTGCAATGTGGCTCAACCGTGTACTGGCGCGTGACATTATCATCGTATCGCTATCACCTGTACGAAGTCGTATGAGTATGGGGAAGTGGTCGCTTCCCAGGCGATCATCCAGCACCTGCCACTGAAATAGGGGTGGACGGGTGCTCCCGGATCTGGTGATGTGTCTTCTTGGTGAACTGTCTGTCCCAGCCTCGTGTGCGCTTGGGACATATTCAGAAGCGTCAGCCCGTACTCTGGGGTGTCCTGCATGATGCGCCTGCCACGCGGGCTGCTTATGTTGTATCTTCAGGCGACATGCTGAAAGTTGAAGTCTCCGCAAAACAATATGACGTCTTGTGGATAAATCTTCCTGAAGCGCGATATGAAGCTGAGATCAAGCGGCCCCTTATTGGCTTTATTCCTGGTGCTTTCAGGAACCACCTAAACGCAGAAGACAAGAATTGTACGTTATTATGTGACTTCCAGCCGCCAACCGACATCACTAAGAGAAGTGCTGCACCACGGATGCGTATATAGCTGCACGTATGTAGTTCCTCGTCACACATACAATGCTGTATTCATTGAAGTAACTTGTTCTCCAGTCGGGGCGTGGCCGTCACAGCCCATTATAACGCAGCACAGGGCCGTTGAATTCTTGAAGGGCAATGACCAATGGGCTGGTGTCGTCTGTTTTGCTGCAGAGCCTTGTGGCAATTTCATCTGTTGCGACGAACCGAACCGCAGTTCCACATCGAGACAGTTGTCCATGGCGATGATTTTGATTGATATGTGGGGTTTAACGTCCCAAAACTACCATATGATTATGAGATACGCCGTGGTGGAGGGCTCCGGAAATTTCGACCACCTAAGGTTCTTTAACGTGCTCCCAAATCTGAGCACACAAACCTACAGCATTTTCGCCTCCATCGAAAATGCAGCAGCCGCAGCGGGGATTACATCCTGTGACCTGCGGGCAGCAGCCGAGTACTTTAGCCACTAGAACACTATGACGGGGCCATGGCGATGATTTTGAAAAACTAAGCATAGTGAGGCTTTGTATGAGGAGTGGTGGGGTTTGATAGTACCAAGGGCGCACGCATCACAAGTGCTCTTGTGGTTGTCGACGAAGTTGCGCCAAATGGGAGCATGCCTGGAAACATGATGCGCTCCATGGTGATTTGGAAGCATTTTTCGATGGCCCGAGTAATAAGCTGTTCGGCTCTTTCATAATTGGGCTTCTCCATTTGAGCCATACGGTATTCTTGAAGCCGCTGGAATTTTTGGAGTGTCGCTGGGGGGATATGAATGGTTGCTGGTAAGCGGAAGCCCCGTTGACTGAGCTACGCCCTCTCGAGGATGCTTCGCCCCTCCACTTGAGGCGGGCTGCGGCGCACAGGACGCCAGTGGTGAGCTTGATGGATCTGGTACACTAATATTAGCGGCACGTTCGCTTGTCAAACTGCATCCGCGAAGGTGGTGCCCCCGGCGCCTTCTGACTGTGCAGCTGGTGGTGCTGGTTGCCTGGCATAAAAACCCTGGCGTATTGGGTTGTGCCTGGGTTTCGGCAACCTCGCGTCAAAATAAGCTAATGTTCAGCGGTTGTGTTTCACCACCTTATTTTTTTAGATTTATCTTTTCAAATTGGGTGACTAAGTTCAAAGGAATCGTTTTTTCCTGTAGAACAAAACTAAAACACAGCAATTAACGAATCCACACGGGCGATTCACCGTCCGCAAGTACGAAGACTAGGCACATCTGTGCACTACCCATTATTCCCATGGTCATTGAACGATCGCAGCGCCAGAGTCTCCTTTAGTTTATTTTAGGAAACTCTATGCTTGGCGCCGCGTGCTCTAGTAAGAATAGCTGACCGCTAGAGGACCACGCCTAAATACAGCACTCACATTTGGCGCGCTTTCTCTTCGTTAGGAGCTCACTTAGTGAACCCTCTTCGTTACTGCTCCGCAGCATAAACACGCCAGAAGTAAAGACAACACCGTGGCGGGCTCGCAAAGCAGCAGCTCCGACTGGCTGCCAAGATCATGCGGTGAGAGGCTGAGAGCCGAGGAGATCCGGAGCAACCCGAAGCTGCGGGCCAGCGAAAGAAAAGCGAACCGAGCACGCCGTCAAGCAAACCCGTCACGTCTATGAACGATGATAGAAGAATGTGCACGGAGGATGGACGGATCACCCGATTATCTCCGATCAAGCTCCTTTAACATCATATACTATGTGGATATGGCGGTCGATTTTATATTATTTTACTCTGCTTAATCTTGCCAGAGAGAAATGCGGCCTCCCCACTAACATTAGTACTGGGGGTAAGTGCATGCTCAAAATGACATCACATACTATCTTCCAAAGTTTAATGACTAGAAGGGATCTCAAACAGCTTACAAGGTGTACGCTTTTACTCTTTCAGAATGCAATCAATGGCACATAGAGCCGTTGCAACAACGGGCAACGAAAGATATAGGACAGCTCCAGGACAGCGTGTCCTTATCGGAGCACTGCATTCTGCAAGATTGTCGGGAAGCCAGGTTTCTTTATCTTTAGGTGTACCGAACACGTACCGAGCACTAGAGTGGCTCGGTCAGCGCGCGTGATGGATATCTAATAGCGGCGAGCAAGATTTGGCCGACCGTCCCTATAAATGGCATCCGTCGTGGTGAACCTACAGTAAACCGAGAGTGCATGAACTTCGGCAGCGAGCATAGATAATTCGCCATCATGCCCGTTTTACAGGCTCTGAGTGTCGTTGCGCTCACGCTTATTTCCTCCATGTTAGGAAGGTCGCTGGCAGCTCCCGTGGCCCAGTCTGCGGCTAAGTGGAAGGATCCAGGTAAGTGCAGCAGTGACTTATTTTAGTAATTTATTGATTAATTTACCATATACCACTCAAGTGGGCATATATCGTAAGGGAGAAAGAAGTGAAAGTAGCTCCGTGCTAGGAGCATGAAACTTGAAGGAAAAGCGCGGCTATATAGGCAACTTCCTTGTTTATTTTCGGTTTTCTTTGTATTTCTTACTCTCTTTCTCGCCTTTTCAGTTTTGATTATGCGTTTTGCTTTCTTTGTATATCTATTTATTTATTCCTCTCCCTTGATCAACTTCTTTCTCTTTCTTGCTGTCTCCAATTTTCTCATTTTTAGCCCCCACTCTTGCGCTTCTATTTCGCGCTTGCTTCCCTCTCCTTCTTTTCTATTATGATACGCACTTCTGCCTGAGTTAGGCCAAGTTGAAGCTTTATATAAAGTTTATTTTTAATTCTTGCTTGTACAAAAAAAAACAAAAAAGGCCAAATACATACAAAATTAGGAGGTCCCAAAGTATAATATAGTCAACTACAAGTGCACAAGTTGGTCTTTTGTTGCCGATGATAAGCGACCATCCGCAAGACGCTCGAAGAACTAGATGAAGAAGGCTTCATTTTGGCGCAAGCACGCACTGAGTATGCTACACATGGAGCATTATGCCAAGCGATGTCGACAGCACACGACAGCCTAGCCCCACAAAAAAGTATCAGACAATTGTAGTACATTAAAAACAATGAGGTACATTACTGTAGCCGTGACAGCGCATCTACTGAAAGCATATATCTTCTATGAAGAATAAAATCCACTCACGGGAAGATCGACAACATTCACACCAAACTTATTCGATTCACGATAGCAAAAGGAAAACAAAAATGATTGAGGAGAAACACGGTTCGGCTTAATTCACGGATTTTTTTTTGCGAACTGATAATTATTACCTTGAAAAAACTTCATTGGTTTTAATTTCTCCCCTATAGGGTCAGAAAAAAAGAGAAGACAGCTTTGCCTTATTGATACTTCGTGGATGTACCAGCAGCACCAAAATAAGGCAGAAACACCCTAGACAAGAAAATAGAGACAGGGACAGCAAGAAAGTAAAAACAGGGACAGCAAGGATCTTTCCTGTCCCTGTCTCTATTGAGCAGCCTTCTTTACTTCTCTTCAGCTCTCCTTTTCGTTCCTGTTCTCTTTCCGTTTTTTCTGTGTTTCTCTCTATTTTTACTTATTCGTATTTTATTCATAGCTTTTTTCTCTGTTTCTCTCTAATTATATTTTTTGCTTGCTTCCTCTTTCTATTTTCTCAATCATGGTTTCTGTCACCGTGTTTTCTCAGCCTAATGTCTGCACTTAATGCCGTCATCAAGGCGATCGAAGAAAGAGAGGTTTTTGGCATGAGCGCGTGCTGAATATGCCAGAACTGACTATGCGTCGCGCCAAGCGGATACGACAGCGCATATGAGAGCCTGCGCCCCCATAAGTGCTCCGTACTTAAAAAAGAATCTATCAGCTTATTCCTTAAAGTTCGCGGCGAAAATCCCGCGCATGACGTCATAAATGGCAAAGCCTTTCATCTATATTTCAACCCCACTGACTGTATGAACTTTTCTGAAACTCGCTAAGCTAAGTCAATGGGTCCCCTCAGAGGGCAACACACTTCGTATTTAGTTTACCGTTCAGGAGCTGGTACTGCCTAACAGTGCCAACATTTTTTGCAGCGAAAGCTGTTATGAGATCACAACACGGGTCACGCGCAGTTGCATGTTGTCCGCAGCCGCCACCACCGGTGTCCGTAAGCACATCGCGCGAAATTAGAAGAAGAAAAAATTGCATTAATGACACAGTGGACTTTAACATGGGTCCGACGCGTGCCAGCCCAATATTCTACCACTGAGCTACTCCGGGGCTGGAGATTTGTTGTCAAACTTGCCTTAGGCAGGCTTGATGTCGGGAAAGCAATCGCGTTAATACGACTTATCAAGTGTTTCACAACAGCGAAAGAACAACCAGTCGTCGCACAATGCGATTAGCGTAACGAGTCGGCCGTCCGATGCTCCAACCCATTACGACAGCTTGTTCTTGTTTCCCTATAAACTCTGGCGCATACCCTCTTTAGTCATAATTCCTCATCGTCGTCAGCCACTGCATAGACAATTGGCACAACATTCCTAGCAAGTGTTTAGCGGATACCTCGCTTCTCAGAAGAATGACGAAAAATAGCATAGCGAATGCCGGCCTACTACCCAAAAGTTTATTGTTAACGCCCTAGTGGGTGCCACGCAAGTGTGCTTGCAGTAGTTACCCAATGGGTGTTTTGAAAATGATCTGAAAGGCCGCTCTTCTAGCTTTCGCTGTGACTGGGTTGCGCCTACCGCGAAGGTTTGGTGTTTTTCGTTGACGTCATGACTATTGATGTAGGAACATCACGGTGGTGTCGCTACGCACATTTTTATGTTTGTGTGTTTTCTCGCTTACCAAGCGTCTTCTCGATGGAAGCGTGGCGATTTTGCTACTGTGCAAGAGCAACTTACTAGATAAATTATATTTATTCTTAGAGTCCCTTCAATAGCCCAGCAAAACAGCAGTGCAATGAGATACGCTGTAGCAAAGCGATTCGGGTTCATGATAACCACGCCGTGAAACCTTTTAACGCCCTTGTAAAACGAAGTAGGAGATCGTTCCTGTCTTTATTTCAAATGCTGGCTGCCACAAGCGCCAATTCCACCCTCACAACTACGGGCTGAGCTTGAGTGCACCATATATACTCAATTACTTATCCACTCTGTATAATATCGCGATGCCCAGGGCCTATAGGGGGCGCACCGTGCAATGCAAGATGGCTGCGGAAGGATCATCAATCCATGAACTCGCCTGCACCGTGGTGGTCTAGTGGCTAAGTATACTCGGCTGCCGACCTGCAAGTCTCGGAATCGAACCCCGGTGGCTGCGGCTGCATTTCCGATGGAGGCGGAAATGTTGTGGGCCCGGGTGCTCAGATTTGGGTGCACGTTAAAGAACCCCAGGTGGCCGAAATTTCTGGAGCCCTCCACTACGGCGTCTCTCATAATCATATGGTGGTTTTGAGACGTTAAACACTACAAATCAAATCAACTCGCGAGCTCGCGTAAGAAAAGATAGGACACACAAACGCATTCCTCGTGTCGCTTTCACCGGATGAACTCTTGATCGTCAAATGAATGTACGTCGAACCAAAGTACTTTCCCAACCACTAGGAACTGCTGAATGTTCGCTACCTCATTTCTTGCCGCGGTACTTTGCCGCAGTAGTAGGTCACTAGCGAGTAGCGCGTCGTCGCGGCTGCATAGGATGGAATATTTAACGTAGGGATGGTTTGCAAACATATAACGCCATCGTCAATACTTGCACTGTAAGCATCACGCAGCTGATTTTTCAACGAAACACACGCATTTAGCTTCCCATTAAGTAGCGCTTGGGTCACAGCCATGATCAGACTTTAACAGTGCGCAATTCCCTGCACTCGACTGTTGCAGGTTCCATCAGCGCAACAGAAACAAGGATATCGACACGCGTACAATTTTTCTCAACGTCAAAATTGCGAAAATTGGTCGAACAACAACGTCATTCAGACGGCACCGGTGAAGTGCAGGAGAAGTTAGCGTAGACTGCAGTCGCAACTGCATATTTCATTGCTCTAACCATTTCGTTTCGCTGGTCGAGCTCGAGCGTGTTGGTGGCATACGGCACTTTGTAATATCCACTGTAACTGGGATACGTTTGATGCACAAGAAAAAGTACCCTTTTATTTTGAGCTGGCTGTAGAATATTATACAATAAATACAATCAAAGTCACTTACGAGCGTGAAAAAAAAAACAATAACGCACGACGGAACGTGTAGTGCAACTCTCTGCTTGTGAGCTAGCAGCTGATCGTTCATCGTCGCTGCCACACTCAGCGCGTTGACAACCACCTACGTCCAGTGAAAAATCCTCGACGTCAAGACGGTTTCCTTGAACATCACTGCTGAAAGTAATCTGAGGAATTTTCTCTGCCAAATGGCTTCGATAGCACCAACAACGCGTCATTCACCACGCACAACCCCAACACGGCGTCACTTACCACGTTTATCCGGGCGTGGAGCAGGGGCGTGCCAACTCTTTCGCGTGTGGGGGTTGCAAACCTAACTCACTCGTCAGCCGAAGCAGGCGATTTTTTGGCACACAAAATTGCCTGCTTCTTACATGACGTCACGAATCTGTCAAATGCCGTGGTGTTCATTACAGCACATGCATATTAAACAGGGAATTCACGCGCTCAACAGTACCTAAAACGTTTTGGGGTGGTCGGCGAGTATCTTCTAAATATTATTCAAGTAGACTAGCTGCTGGTCACATTATCAGCGGCTACTTATAGGAGCTGGCGAGAAGAAACAATATGAGTATAATAAAATATATTCACTTGCAGAATCAAGGAGTTTAGTAGTTTGTGCGCGCACACATCTCTGAGCTCGCCTTTGTTGAGAGAGAGAGAGAGAAATGAATAGAAATAAGCAGCACTGCATGTGTGTACTTATTTGCTGTCCAAGTTGTACTTTGAGCTGCAAAAGACAATTCAAGTTGAATGAAAGTCTACTATAGACCGACTCTCAATTAAACCTACATAGTGCTAAAAACCATACTATTTCACCTTCCCCTTGGTCTGGTGGGTCAAGTTAAGGGGCAAGCTTAAAACTGAGCCTCCCACTGTGCTCGAGTCCATCACTTTATCCGTCGCCACTTTGCAAGCTGCCACCATCACTCCAACTTACCATAAGCAAGGCTGATCAGGTTTATGGGAGACTAAAGTGGAAACCCTTTTTCACGCTTGCAGATGACACTAGAACATTCAAGAAGATGTGTGGGATTCATCAGCTCACAGCAGCCTCGACAAAACAGTGCTTGTGATATTTATTTTCTATCAAATAAAACAATTTTTCTGAATCAGCAGATCATTTGACCAGCCCTTAAAAAGTTTGCTCGTTCACATCCGCAATTGCATTGGCCAGTCGCA